CGATCTACCAACCCTCTGATCATGAGTCACGAACCCTAACCACTACGCCACACTCCCCAGATATCTAAGTTTATTCTGAGTAAGCTGTCCGTGACAGCAAACAATCCATTTGTTAAACCTGATTGAGATGACAGAGATTTAAAACGCTCATGACATAAATTGTACTTGGCTCATATTTTGTGCAACTTTCTACTCCTATTAAATGTATGAAAACTATTTGACATCCCTTTTTGGTTAATTTCATTGAAAAGGGCACTTTTTAAATTTTTTTAATTTTCCATGCTTTTCTTGGAAAAACGAGGGCGCTGCTGCTGTGATGTCATTTCAGGAATACACTGTTCAGTTTAAGGGTTTTCTGTTAAAATTGTGATCCCAAAAGTTTCTCACTGAAAACATTTGGGGGAAAACTTTGCTCATTGGACTACTGTCATGTATTGAAACAACAACGAATCACCAAAGAAAAGAAAATTTATGACAGAAAAATATCCAAAATTGAAGCAACTGTTGATGCTGAAATAGCTGTAACATTGAGGTTTTTGCCTGAAACTGATGACATCACATTTTTGCTCATGAATATGCAGAATGCATTAGCATAAAAAAAACCCAAATAGGCACCAAAACGCCCTTCAGAATGTCATAATGAAAATCGAAAATACATGTAACATTAAATGAGACACAAAGGTCAATTTCCAAGCATTGCATTAACAAAAATTACATTACATGGTCCTTTAAGATTGGCAAATTATTACAAATTAGGAAACAAATATAGTTTCTCCCCATAATGTCTTTGGTTGGTATAAAACCACTAGCCTGTTGATGTAACACGAACGTATCCACAGCAGAACAAATTTTACTGTAAAATATCAGTCTTTTAATTGCCAAGGCAACGGCAAATTGGCCAGCCGGTGCCCTTTGGAAGCAATCAATATTGTCAACACTGCCACACGCGAGCCCTGATTATTCGAAAGCCTACACTCCCGCTCCAATATTGACTAGCGAATATTGTGTATATATCCCTCTATGGGTTTTCCTGTGTACTGTGCATACATATACTGGCTTGGAGCTAGCTGAATCGTATCAATCATAGCGCATTTGCAGCTCTTTCCAACAATGGAGCCAGTATAATTAATTAAGAGGTAGGGGAGGACCGGTGCTTGATGGAACAGCATTCTGGCTGTCGTTGCTGTGTAGGAGATTACTGTGCGCAAAGTCAAACACGAAAACTTGATCGAAAATTAATTTCCCGTACATAAAATCTTGAAAAAGCCAACCCTGTCAATAAAACAACCACATCAAATGAGACACTGCAAAGAATCTTAACAGTTTACCACATCTGAATCACTTTTAGAGCCAATGAACAAAACTCCAGACGAGACAACGTTGCATTCAACAGCAGTGAAGACATTTCAAACAGTCGTATTTTATTGGTACAGTATTTCGAGGTGAGCATGCAAAGTACAGCAGAGATATGGTGTATGATGTTAAACTGACAAATATTTAATTTACAAGTTTCTTTGTATCAAAGTTTTGCTCAATTTCAGATGATCAGCTGGTTATGAACGTTTAATATTACACTTTTTCAATTTTCTCTCTTCAAACAGATTGATCAATGAGTGTATATGAAAAATATGTGACTGGCACATATTAACGTTCGTTTGGGCGCAAAGCATAAATTCAAACTGGCCTGTACTATCCGAAACAAAATTGAATCTTTTCTATCAAGACTGCAGCAACCTTGTCCCCAGGTCTACTTAAAAATGCTTTCTCAATAGCACAGACTGTACTGTACTTTGTCCGAACTATATCAACACGTTCCAGGGTTCATAAGCACGTCTAAATCATGCATAAAACAATCATATTCATCTGAAACGGATACATTAACCATTAAACAGAAAAACGACAGGCAAAGAGGCAAACAAAACAGCATACAAGTGACTGAAACTGGACGGATAAAGCTGGGAAATATTCTGTGCAGATGCCAAGAAATAAACATGGAACAGTAGTCTGCATAATGGCACACAAAATATGCAACACAAAATATGCAACACAGTGAAGGAATGCTTTGGTACGAGAATTATGTAAAAAATAAATACAGTAAACATATCTATGTATAATTCAATAATGATATCAACTGGACTTGATATATTCACCACTTCTTCATAGTGTGCGATGAGACATCTGTTGAATAGGAAGTGATGTCTTTATCCTATCATTTTGAATGTTGAATGTAAATTACCACACAGTTAAACAATCAATTATGAACTGATTATTAGTTACTATTAAACATCCAGATGATACTGCGGTTTCTTCTAACAGCATTCAACACCAAAAGGACCAATTTCATTGTGATGTTTAGTGTTTACACTTTTTTTTTAGACTGGTGTTTAAAAGTCGCTCCAAATAGAACATGAAACTTCCAACATTAGGAACAATTCGGAGTGACTTAACCAGTTCACGTCGGATGACGTGTATACACGCAAAGGTTTTGCAGTATTCGGAACGGATGACGGATATACACGCAACGAGCAAGGCCGGAAATATCTATCGGCGACCCGCTCGCAGTGAGCGACGCTGGAAATATCAGGGTTTGCTACCCGCAGATAGCCCGCCTGAACCCGTCTGGCATCGAGGTTCGTGAAAAACAAATCCCACGCCTGGGTCTGGTCAATGTCAAAATAATCCCGGCGTGAACTGGTCAAGTCAAAGGATCAGCTGTTGTAGTCGTTTGGAACCACTAGCTCAAGGGCATCTTGATTTCAGACATTACTCTTTTCAATGGAAATTAATAATGTGTTCGTTATAATAATTCCATACTAACGGTTAGCATGTTTTACAATGAATTCTTACATGTTTAAGAATGAATTTCGGCATATGCACATGCTTACATCCCGCTACTTTGAGATTCTGTGGTTCTAGGGTTAGCGCAGAACTCTTATGCTAGCGCGGACTGGTGATCGTCAGTTAGCACTGCCATGAAATTTGGCAGGATAGTGACGGTACACTGTCCAAGTTTCCTTGCTTTGCTGCATAAGAATCAACAGTTAGCAGAAACCTGTGGGGTTTTTTCGGGCGAGTTTAATTATCAAGAAATTTTGAATACATACATGTACTTTCATCATCTTATATAGGTTTCGTGTTTGCAAGATTTATTAGTTTCTTTGTCAGCTCTGTAAGCCAACAAAAACAAACCTGGAATTTTGTCTTTTATTTTCATAACCAAACAATGGACATCTGATGTCTAATATAATTTCCAATTTGACTTTCAATTGATTCACTGCATATTTTCTTCCACTTAAATTGACCAGAAAGACCATCCACCCATCACTTAGTACTTATGGGTGCCACTGGACCAACTATCTTTTAAGTTATTTTTGCACTCGGAATTCAATTCGGCTTATTTATATCAATTAATTTACAAAAGGCCAATGGTTGACGTATTGACAGACACGCACCCTGCATTGCAAAACCAAGATTGCTTTCAGGCTATATACACAAACACACACACGCACTGGTAACACGTCAGATATTTACATATTGATTTCCTAACCTTAGAACTGTACAAGTATCATGCATACGTGGAAAACAAAAGTCGCATAAATAGCATCTAATTTACAATGGTTCTGAATAATCTCGTCGCAGGAAACAACTTCGGGTTTCCAGGACAATAAAGCTGCTTTTTTTAGGCAAACTGTGTTCAGCGTGAAAATGAACAGTTTTACACTGATGTAATTTGTAATTGATATTGACTTTTTAGCCAATTTTCAGCATTGTAATTTTTTTTGCCAGGATTTTCCCATACTTTTATGCTGTATCCAATCTGGATATCGGAATTAGATTTTTAAAGTTACACAAGATCTGACTTTAAATATTCTCATGGAAATTTGGTCATCAAAAAACAGTTATGGAATGCTCAAAACTATCTATGGGGATAAGCAATTCAGAATGTGTTAAGGCCGGTTCCCATTCATGTGAATGCAAATTTGACGTCATTAAACATTCCTTGCAGCTAGGGGTGTGCATTTCCGGCTAGGGGTGTGCATTTACGCAGGTAGTACGGGAACCGGGTACCCTATTGAATTAAAACACCCAGGTACCCATAAAAGAACCTAACCCCAAAATTCAAATCCCGGAAGTTGTCTGAATAGCTTTGCGGTGTAAACTGCAACTTTCGCGAGAGTCATCTGTCGTGCATTAACATGCACATAAACGTGAAATCTGTTTTGGTTTTTCCATGTTGCCTGGTTTTCATTTTGAAAATTCCCCACAAATGGCATTAAAAAAAATCTTTCTTTTACATTATCTGAGAAGTTACTGAGTAATTTGTAAAGTTGGTTACAGGTACCCGATCCCATAATCTGGAACCGGTTCCTGACATCAGCGGTCAGGTACTCGGGTACCCGGTTCCGATGCACACCCCTAGTTGCAGCTTTGACAGTGTTGAAATGTGTTGAAGTTCTCTGCAAATTCACAGCGCGAAAAGTTTGTGTGATGTCACAAATTTGCGTCCACCTTCGCTTTTGCACTGAGTATGAACCGGCCTTTACATTGCATGTGACTTTTGCTTCAGTCACAAGTATCAGTAATTCCAGAATAAAATTATGGACTTTTTTTTTTCCAAGTAAAAAAAGGGTTTTCTTGTAACGAAGGAAGGACTTAGTATGTTTATAAGTCCCATACTCAATAACTCTTTCCAAAATGGTGCACTTCAAAAATGGTACACAAATAAAATTTCATGTGGTATTCATGAATAGACCGGTCCATTCAGCCGAGCCCACTGCGCGTACCCTTCAATGCATGTTTCGGACGCCCACGTCATTATGCATGCAGGTTGGACATTGCATACATGTATATATCAGACATTAATCATGGCCGTGATTGGTCAATGCATTATAGGGTGGGGCTAAGTGGATCAATCTTTAGAGTACCGAAGTGTGACGTCATTTAGAACCAGAAAGTGTAGTGCAAACAAATGAAGTACGCACGCGTGTTGGTTCACGGGCTGAATCACACGCTAATGTCTTTTACACACATAATTGTGCGCATGATGTATTCACTTCGGTACTCTATTGGGAACTCAGATCCAGACAAATATTCAAAAGCACTTGACACAGCATTTTTGCTTCAGGATGTTTTGTGATTGTACTATTACATGTACATACATTAAGTACTTCAACTTGTATTCTAGGCTTTTTCTTCCATTTAACAAACACATTTTAGTTCTTGTACTAGAGTACTTTTAAAGTACTTCCCTAAGCACTTACAATCCAAATATCTTGGTACTTATATATTCTTTAAAAAGTAGTAGGCTACAATGCAGCGATTGTGTGCATTGACCATCTTCAAAGGGCAACAAGTCACAACTTGCCTTTCACCCAGTACTCCCTGTACTGCCAAAAACTGCCCTGCCGGTTACTCCGGGTACCGCCTAAAACCGCCCCACCACTCTGTGGTTTGTGGCTTCATCAGGGAAGAAATACAATGTGATACAATGTAGTACAACTTGTACAAGTGCTAACGGGTCAGTGTTAAAGAACTAAAAGTCTGCTGTGCAGAGCTCTGACTGGCATGTTTAGGATGGAGTGGGGTGGGGTGGGGCGGGGTGGGGAGGGGGAGTTAGGCAGGGACTGGAGAGTGTCTTCATCTCATGGTGCAGGGGGTCTCTTGATGTTCTTACTAGCTTTCTCTTCTTCCTGGAGCTGACCGCGGAAGTTGCTGACCTTGTCTCGGAGCTGGCTTATCATGTCAATCTTCTTGGTCAGGATCTCATCCAGCTTGGCCACGTAATCTATGCGGGACGACAGATGGTAGGGGACAAAATCAAGAAAATCATTATAAAATAGAAACCAAAACATGCTCTTAACTTTACTCTACCCCTGAACTCCCTCTTTGAGAAAACAGTGAAAGCAAGCCCACTGGAACGAGAGGTGCTGTGGGTGCTGCAGCACCCTCAACCTTTTTGGATGCTGGAATATACTAAAGAACCCTCTACTCCCCGGCAAAAATGTGTTCCAGCAGGCTTGAGTGAAAGTCTATGCATTTTTCCACATTTCGATGCAGACTAAAAATATGATCACATGAAGATGCACCATGTTAAATAAAACCCACTAGAATGGTTCCAGCCTCCTACATTTGAGAAGGCAGAGTGATAAGAGAGGAACTGGGAGCCAGTCTCAACAAACCACCACATGAATTTCCAAAGATGTATCACTCGGCATATCTTTTGGAATCACCAATTTCTGTTTTTTTCTTCAAAATGATGGCTCTTAATGGTAATGGACACCGTTTGCAACCAAAACAAATGTGTTTTTGCTGATTCAAGGAACAACAATACAATAAATCTGAAACAGTTTATTACAAAACTAACCTGTCAAAACTTCAACTCAGTAGATATACTTTTTGAGAAAAAAAACTGTGAAAATACATCTTCATTTTTCTCGACGCAAAGCACAGTTTCCGTTCAAAGTGTGATGGTTTGGTCCTAACTATCGCAAGGAAATGGCGGTAATTCTTCTTTTCTTGAAAATGACAGCATACTAGGCGTAATTATTTCACACGATCCTTGATCCTATTATTTATCTACAATCAAGTAGGATGTTTTATGAAATTTTGGCAGTTTCTTTTTTGAATGTTTGCTTTTGGTGTCCATGACCTTTAAGTATACTGTTCTTTGCTCTTTTAACATGAAAACCTTTTGTGGTTTAATTAAGTTTAGGCACAAGGTATTAACAGGACTTCAAGCACACACAAAAAATACCGCAAGTGAGACTTGGGCGATCCCCCTGGCATGCTGGCAGTTTCATTAAGTCAGTTAATACGGATACTTGTAATTGTCCCCAACCAAAATGGAAAATTTCTATTGTTTTAGCAATAGTGAGCTTGACCTTTGTCCTGGCTGGATAAGATTACCCAGAGCAACCCACAAACCAAATTTGAAGTTCATGAGTAAAATATTTCTAAAGTTTTCATACTGACAATGTTTCGATTGTTTTTAGCAATAGTAACCTTGAATTTCAATCATGGACTATCAGTCAATCGTGGACGTATTGTTTGTGCCCTAACCCTTTTGTCCCTAGTCCACGATTGCCGGTGTTTACATACTCACAAAGACATACTCACAGAAGGAATGCGCTATCTCAATATCCCCCTCCGGCTTATAGCCAGGATAAAAAGTACAGCTCTTTAAACAAGTGGTCTTCGGACCACATGTGTTGCCTTTTTCCGCGGTCAATCCCTATATGTTTTGTGTTAATAAAAAAAGGTAAAATTTTGTGCATTTTTCAAAACGACCACCTCAAATGACCCCTAGATGACCTTTGACCTCCAAGTTTGGAAGAATTGTAATGAACCCCCACCCAAGGATCACTCCATGCAAGTTACATCAAAATCCATGAAATTCTGTAGACAAAGAAACATCTGAAGCATATTTGAACAATGACCTCTAACGACCACTACATGACCTTTGACCTCAGTAATCTGATGAAGAATTGTGTCTTCACACCCAAGGGTCACTGCATCCAAGTTTCATAAAAATCCATGAAAGCATGTAGAAGTGATACAGTTTTCAAAACTTTAACAAACAGGTCTACGGGTTTACAGAATTTAGGACTGGTAAGTGTCTCCCAAACTTTGTTTAGGTGACAAAAACATTGGGAGATCACACACAATGTCTAATGGTAGAAGGTACAATGGCATTCAATCCATCATATGCTGCAATACAAGGCAATGGGTTTCATTTGATTCAGGGTAATAGGACAACAAACATCGACCCCAAGCCACGCAATTCCAATTTGATCCAATGGAACATACTTCCTGTGGGATCCTGACAATCTAAGGGCCAAGTCACACAAGGCCATTTTCAGAGGCAACATGGTGGTAATCAAATGCCCAACAAGCTAACACAACCCCGGAAAGAATGAAGTGCATTTTTTTTCCCAACAGTTTATGGAAAATCCTCAGAACATCCCAGGGAAGTAACAACCAGCTGTCTTATTTTGAGAGATGGCTTGCAACAAGTTGCCTGTAACTTGCCTCATGTGATACAGCCATGGGATCGGGTACCCGTAACCAACTTTACAAATTACTTGGTAACTTCTCAGACAATGAAAAAAGAAAGGTTTTGAACATCACTTGTGGGGAATTTTCAAAATGAAAACCAGGTTACATGGAAAAACAAAACATGTTTCTCATTTATGACACTCACAAAAGTTGCAGTTTACAATATTAAGATATAAAGCTCACTGTACACACTTGTATCTTGCTGCATTGATGCACCGATATGGTAGTGTTATCGTGCGGACCTTTATGAACAATCTGAACAGCAACTTCCCAGATTTGAATTTTGGGGCTGGATTTCTTTAACAGGTACCCGTGTTTCTTTCAAACGGGTACTCAGGTACCCGTACTACCCGTCAATGCACATCCCTACTTAATTGTGTGCTTGAAGGCTATGGGATAGTCCAGTAGCTGAACAACAGAATCCAGACACCAATCAATGCATAGGCCTGGTTATTCTTACCTTCTATGTCATAATCCACTTCATCAGTCATCTCAATCAACCGGACTTCTTCAGCTGCTAGTTGCTGGGTTTCCTAACGCCAATGACACAGAAAATTGAAATGAGGAGACATCAATGGACAGAAACACGCACAAAAACATTAAAGCTATAGTCCATCATTTGCAGCTATCCGAAAAGTAACTGGCGTAATTATTGTTGAAAAACATACTTGGTTGAAAGATAGTAAGGGGACTAAACTCCCTGTGAAATTATTCTTTCTGGCAAGCTGTCATTTTGATGAAATCAACGAAAGAAGGCCTTTTTAACAGTGCTTCTTAAGGCGCACCGTAGGAAATTTGTTCGTTTTGTTATTCGGCGAAGCGCGCACAAGCATTTGCACGACGCACACGCACGCTCGGTTGCTATAATTCGTCGGATCAGTGTGCGACATCGCGTAGCTGCAATCGGCTCAGTGAGAACGTGTCTCGGACGCTGAATTCAGGCCCAATTCAAAACATGATTCAGCAACTTTTGATTTGAAATTGAGATACTAGAATGCTGTTTTTCTCGGAATATACAGCTGAAGCTGAGATGAAACTTCATCAGGTTAGTTGTTCAGTACCCTTCTTTAGATTTTGAGCACTTTTGTTGCTTCAAACAAACAAAATGCAAGAATTACAAATGATGGACTATATCTTTAATAGGGATGATGTGTTTCTGACAATAACCAGTATTATTCATGACGAAAAACAGATGTTCCTTAATTGTCACTTTTTTTCGGGAGGGGGGGGGGGGGGGGGGGGGAGAAGGAGAGGGGGGAGGGATAAGAAGATGTCAGAAAGGGTGTGGCCACAACCATCTCTTACCTCTAGGCATATACGATGATCATCAACAATTAGTTCCTCCATCTCCTGGAGTTGGTTCATCACTTCATGAAAGGTAAACATCTCCGCTGAGACTTCCTCCTCCTGAGAAATCAAGAAATCTAGAAGTTCAAGATCTACAACGTGCTGATTTCAAGCTTTGCTACATATTTTGTTTATATTTAAAAACAAACAAAAAAGATTGAAGGTGAATGCTGTCCATCATAAGGGGTAAAATTTGGCGCAAAAATTGCTCAGACAAAACCAGACAAAACTCGGACCAAGTACAATCAATTTTGAGCAATCACATGCAGTTTACAATTCGCTTACAGTACAGTGAATGTCCGGTGTCTGACCATAATTTCACTGTCCAGTACAAAATGCAGTTACACTACACAAATTTGGAATGTCATTTTTTGACTGGACACACATTTGCTAGTGGACTGCACTAGTGGAGTGCTGTGGCCTCGTGGTCTGGAGCATTGAATTTGTGGTCTGCAGGTAATTCCGCGGGTTGTGGGTTCGAGTCCAGCCTGCGGCTACGGTGCGTGTGCACACGCACCGTACTTTGTCACGCATTTTGTCACGCATTGCTTGTCTCCACCCAGGAGTAAATGGGTACCTGTTAGGGCAGAGATGGTTATTGTGAATGATTGTAGCTGCCTTGCGCCCAAATGGCAGCATCGAGCTGTATACTCCCCAGGGAGCTGAGATGGTATTTGGAATGTTTCATTGGCCCGATGAGCAGGGGTAATAATAAACACCTTGTATCCTTTGGCAATTTGGCGCTCTATAAGTCCAGTTATTATTATTATTATTAGTGGACTGCATGTACGACTCATGACTGAGTCCAACTGGAGTCAAGTTTTTGGGGACTAAGACCTGGACTCGAGTCACTAATGACAATGACTTGGACTTGGACTTAAATTTGACACTTCAAACTAGGGTTTGATGTTGACTCAGACTCAATGGCAAATTGACAAAAAGGCTCTTTTTCAAATTGAATAAATTTTATTGAATAAATGTTTATCTTGTGACTTTGACTCGTCTCAACTGACTCGCGACTCGGACTCAGGACTGGGACTTGACACTGACACTGAGGAGTTAAACTCAGACTCGAGGTTAGAGGGCTCAAATACAAGTCTGACAATACAGTCCACCAAACAGATGACATGCCATACTTACATTGTGTGTGCAGAGCATAGCCAAGTCACTATTACTAGGTGATAGGCACTCAGGGAGCTTCTCAGGACTAGATGGTAAGGCATTGATGTCTCCTGGGTAGTCACCAGCCCCTGGGCTGCCCCCTGGACCTAGCTCTTTAACCCTGTCTGCATAACGTAGCGTGTTGAGTGTGTGTTCACATGAACTCATGCCTGGTGATATCATTGCAATCTGTAGCAAGAAAATAAACAGTATCCAGCATAAACTTCCAAAACACTTTCAGTGTGTTAAATAATTGACTCTTGAAATGAAATCTGAGAATTTCACACAATTCTTCAAGAAAATAGCCCACCTGAAGCTAATTTTTAAAGCCAGCCTTAAAGTCAATTGATAGACATAACACATTATTTTGGATGCTGACCTATATTTTCCAAAAAAACATTCACAACAGTAGTTCAAACTATGGACTTCATTTTCCATCGTGCGATAATACATTAACCCTACACACCCAAACCCTTTCAAAATCCAACTGCATGTTTTGTTGGAATCTGTTGGAGTGAGTACTGCACTAGTAAACTAATTATGGTTGACATTGGGTTAGGCATACCACCATAATCAGAGTCCAACAGTTTGGGTGTAGGGTTTACCATATGGTGTTGGAATTTGCAGGAGTGAGGAAGGGTCCTAGTAAATCACTCAAGGGGGTTAGGGTTAATACAACAGAAACACATAGGACAGTAAGGTAGCACTTAAAATGACTAACAAGAACTAAAGTTTGCGTAAGCTTTTCTAACTTAATTCATCAGATACAACGCAGTATTACATATCAGCATCCACACTCCGACCGGTCTTTTTAAAGTGTTTAATACCGAACAAGCACATATTTATTCCCATTCATAAATACCTTTTCGGTCAAAAAAATCAAAAGGCACGGATTTCATAGGAGTCCAAATTTCATGTGACACTGAAAAATGTGTTTAAGACCAGCCTGCTGGTCTTTATCGACCGTTTAAGACCGGCCACGTGACAGTTCTTATCCATTAGGAATAGGTAAACTGTCTTAGGTTTTTATGAATATCAAGTAATCTACAAGGCACCGCTGTACTTACCATACAGGTTTTGGCCTTATCACCAATGAAGGAATCCCTGAGTACTTGAGTGAGTTTACTCGCTCTGAACGGGACATGAGCGCCCCTCTGACTTAGGGATCGGATGCACTCCTTGAGGGCAAGCAGACTCTTATTAATCTCTGCTCCTTCCATGCGTGTCTGGCGGTTAGCACTCTGTGTGTCCTTGCCTCGCTCGTTACCTGAGGACAAAGAAATATACACCAGAGTTTGATTCGAGTCTGTGTCGTCTGGTGTACTGTAGCAGTGCTCTACTGTCGGAGTGATCTCCTAGTATGTTGGTTCCTCATTACAAGACAATGGAAATCACGGTAAGGCCAAAACAATAATAGTTCTGCTTCCGGTTTCCCTACCCACCCTATTCTGACAGCCCCTACCCTAATTTTTTTTATGAGAAAAATGAGACAAAAAACGCCCAAAAACATCAATTACTACCTTTTCCCCGTGACTACACGCAGAGTGATCGTACACACAAAAAATTCCCTACCTACCTACCCTCTTTTCGAATGCCATGTAATCGGAAGCAGAAGTATTATTTTTTTTGGCCTAATTAAGATTATAAGACAATCGTGTGCCAGATTGCTGTTTTTGCGTGTGGTATCTGAAAATAAAAATGCAACTTTATGATTATAATGACACCATAGTCGTGTGTGCACGTGCATACTTTTTTCTTTTCGAATGATCAAACTGGCAAAAAGCTATTCGATATTCGGTTGATGATTGAATATTCCAATAGTCAGAATATTCAGGACAGCCCTACTGGTAACAGTGATTCATTGTGATTGCGCTAGGTGATCGTGTATCTAATATACAACGTCGTCTTGACCTATTGGGCATCTGCTGGCTACTTTACTTTTTTACTGCCCAGATGCGTCGCTGACGTGTTGGAACATCGAACAATGACAGAAGTTTATTCGGGTCATGGGTATGTTGGTAGACGGAAAAGGGGTCCATCTTGAACGACATCCTACAAACCTCACTTTGTATGTGTATTAACGTTGCAAAGCCAGTGGGAATTGAAACAATCCCCACTGGCTTTGCAACGTTAATACACATACAAAGTCAATGGGAATTCTATCAATAAGGTATGAAGCACATCGTTCTAGATGGCCAACTTTTCTGTCTACCGAGTATGTTCTAGATGGCCAACGTTTCTGTCTACCGAGTATGTTCTAGATGGCCAACGTTTCTGTCTACCGAGTATGTTCTAGATGGCCAACGTTTCTGTCTACCGAGTATGTTCTAGATGGCCAACGTTTCTGTCTACCGAGTATGTTCTAGATGGCCAACTTTTCTGTCTACCGAGTATGTTCTAGATGGCCAACGTTTCTGTCTACCGAGTATGTTCTAGATGGCCAACGTTTCTGTCTACCGAGTATGTTCTAGATGGCCAACGTTTCTGTCTACCGAGTATGTTCTAGATGGCCAACGTTTCTGTCTACCGAGTATGTTCTAGATGGCCAACGTTTCTGTCTACCGAGTATGTTCTAGATGGCCAACGTTTCTGTCTACCGAGTATGTTCTAGATGGCCAACTTTTCTGTCTACCGAGTATGTTCTAGATGGCCAACGTTTCTGTCTACCGAGTATGTTCTAGATGGCCAACGTTTCTGTCTACCGAGTATGTTCTAGATGGCCAACTTTTCTGTCTACCGAGTATGTTCTAGATGGCCAACGTTTCTGTCTACCAAGTATGTTCTAGATGGCAAATGTTTCTGTCTACCGAGTATGTTCTAGATGGCAAATGTTTCTGTCTACCGAGTATGTTCTAGATGGCCAACTTTTCTGTCTTCGAGTATGTTCTAGATGGCCAACGTTTCTGTCTACCGAGTATGTTCTAGATGGCAAATGTTTCTGTCTACCGAGTATGTTCTAGATGGCCAACGTTTCTGTCTACCGAGTATGTTCTAGATGGCAAATGTTTCTGTCTACGAGTATGTTCTAGATGGCCAACTTTTCTGTCTACGAGTATGTTCTAGATGGCCAACTTTTCTGTCTACCGAGTATGTTCTAGATGGCCAACGTTTCTGTCTACCGAGTATGTTCTAGATGGCAAATGTTTCTGTCTACCGAGTATGTTGATGTTGTCATGACAGAAAATGACACAGCTCACGTCTACCGAGTATGTTGGTGTTATAATGACAGAAAATGACACAGAACTGACTATGAAAATAATGGGAGCACTAATGCTACCAGATTTGTATTACCAGCAAGATCTATGAGGGAGAATTTGCCGTAAAGTCTGCGAGCTTTCTTCGTCCGTAGGATGATCTGGAATACAGCATGGGATCTTGAAGAATGGTTGTTAGCTGAGGTCTGCCCCGATGTCCTGTGGATAAAACATAAAATAATTCGCATTTATTGAATGTTTTTTTTGTGAAGAATTATTCTGACTCTAAAAACAAAATTCTGATTTGACACTCATTACTCGGTTCTTGGTTTCAGGACTCAAATCACAATATCCTCAAACAGGGATGTCACTGGTAATTTCACCCAATAGTCGAAAATCCAACTCTTGTTTTCTGGGAGCATATTGCATTGTGTGTTTCTGAAATCTCTGTATAGTATACATATTTTTTAAACACTTGAACACGGGAAATACATACACAGACAAGAGAGATCAAGTTCTGTGAATATAAGCTTGCAAAGATCGTCTTTCTCCATCGATGTTTTCTTGGCATTTTTACGATGTCTATTCCATCCGGCCTGCATGCAAAACACTGGACTGCAGTCAGTGTGCATGCACCGCGCGACTATTGCATTGACTGGTTACCGCATCTCCATCATGCCTTCTTTGGCCCTTAGTGCGCGGCGCAGCGGGAACCAGTCACTGCTGCACTAGCACATACGGGCCCACGTATTTTCATGCAGCTCTGTGTGTACTGTACATGTACGTACGTATGTCTGCAACTGGCATGACTGCCGCGCGCGTTGGCCAGGCAGCTTCGTTGCGTTTTGGCACGGCACAGGGAGTTTTTTGGTCGGTAATTTTAATCAATCAAGTAATGAACACAGAGCACGCTAATCAGACCTCAACTGCTAGTATACTTGGGCGTCATTTTGCTTAAATAGTGCAAGAAAAAAACACTAGACAGCCGGACTAGTGCAGTCACACACAGCACTAGACCGACCCTAAAATCACTAGACATGGTCCACGGTCCAGTGGATATTTCGAGCCCTGCTCCGGTGTACAAAACACCATGGACCCTGTCACAGCAGGCAACAATTGTATATTATTCTCTGTAAAGTTACCGTACATGATTCTCAAATTCCAAATTGGATGAATTCAGGCTACAGTCTGCCATTTCAGATGTTTTCTGGTGCTTACCTGACATTGTTTCCCTGTGTTATGAGGCGTAAGACATCATCCACGGAGGAGACTGCTTTCTCTTCCAGACCCACCACATTCACAACCTGGTTCCGATCCTCAAGAACTTTCAGTTTGGCCTTCTTGTTCAGCAAGTCAAACACCTACACCAAAACAACAAACAACAATAAAGTAGATCTCCAAACTTTCAATTCCATAAACAAAATGGTAAAATCAAAAATGTGGGGAAGGTAATGTGTAGACCACTGCTTTTTTTCTTCTTAATCTTAAAAGTGGGAAGGTGCAGTCATATTTATTCAGATAAAACGTAACACACAAAAAAACCGAGAACAACAACCCTAATAATTATGTCACATTTTAGTAGTTGGAAAAAAAACTTAAAGATTTGATTTTGGGGGTTATGTGTGTTTTGCATTTTTGGTTTTGGTTTAATTTATTTGGTTTTGTTTTTATTTATTTGATTTTATTTACTGTGTGGTGTGTTTTTTTGGAAGGGGAGGGGTAGGTAGTTCACAAAATGATTCTTGTGCAGATTAAGTCCAGGATATAAGTTATCCAAGGGTACAATATGCCAAAGGTTTTGGTATATAAAAATACAAATGCAAAGTGCTCACAAGAATATCCAAAACATATTTATGATACAAGGAGGACCTGGCCAGAATCATAGACCTGCTTACCAGTTTAACAATTCCGTGCTGACAGCGCAATCACAGAAATTCTGCGCTAACCCTTTAAGCAGTGAAACCTCAGTTACGGGATAGGAGAATGCAAACAAGGCAGATTTAGGGCTGTGCCCGATATACCCAAAATTTAAATTATTCAAGAACGAAAAGCAACCAGAAATAACCATTAGCATAGATTAACTTTGAGCATAGGTGTTTAGCAAAATCCTTTTGAGTGTAACAGAAATGATTCAGCTAAAATCCAAATGTCAGGGCTTATTAAATTCATATAATTTCTAGTTGGTAATGATCCAAACATTTGGGCACATTTTCTCAATCCTGGCCAGATTACTTCGACAAGAGTTGAAAGGATTATATGAAAATAGCAAACCAGTGATGTGGTTGAGTCCATTCCAAGTTTGATGACAAGTAAGTTACACGTCACAAGTCAATTCACAAGTCTGGTCACAAATAACCGAGGATGAACAAGAACAAAAGAATCCCACTGTCACTGTTCATATGTACAGCTTGTGACTTGACTTGTGAAGGACTTGTGATGGCCTTGTGATGGACTTGTGATGGACTTGTGAAGACTTGTGATGGACTTGTGATGGACTTGTGATGGACTTGTGATGGACTTGTAAAGACTTGTGATGGAGTTGTGATGGACTTGTGATGCACTTGTGATGCACTTGTGATGGACTTTTGATGGACTTGTGATGAATTGTGATGGACTTGTGATGGACTTGATATGGACTCGTTACGGAGCAGATTACAACACTAGAGTGAACCGAGTTGTCTGGTTTTTATTGATTTTTTAAATTCTAACCTTGCCACTGTAGATCTCAAAGAAGCTACAGCCGATCACCAAATCTTTCTTTCTGTTTTCCGCTTTGTTGTACAGCTTGAAGACATCCGCCGCTGCTAATGCATAGATTCCCTTAGTCACGTCCTGGTTCTTGCCGTTGAAATTACCTCCCATGGTCTGACAGGGGGAGGAGAACATGCATTTGCTGAGTTAGTAAAACAGTCATTTATTTATCATCATGTTTATTTGAAATATATTACAATTGTCAAGTGGGTTTTGTTTAAACCCAAGAAATTATACAGTCAACTCTCATTAGTACAAACACTGTTAATACAAATTCTGGTTATAGCAAACATGAAGCCTTGGTCCCAACTGTGCATTTATGTGCACACTGAATGGGACTGATGTTCCTCTTAATACAAAATTCTGATATAACAAACAATTTGGCTAGGTCCGAACGGAGTTTGTTTTAACGAGAGTCTACTGCACTCTTAAAAAAAAGAAAGAAAAGATTTGATAGTTTTTGTAGTGTTCGAATTTCAGTTGTAGTGACTAGTAGCTGAAATCTTTTTTACTAGAAACACAGAAATCCAAAGGCTGAAATCACTGTGATTTAAACTTAACTAATATCTAATGAATACAGTTATTCTCAACTATTGGATATGATTCTTACATGTGTTTTCCCGCTACCAGTTTGCCCATATGCAAAGCATGTGGCCATACCCTTGTTGAATATCGTTTCTACCAACTTCTTGGCCGTGAATCTGCAGCAAAGTCAATTAAATATGAATACAGTAAGTTATAGTACATGTATGAACACAAGTGAACATCTACTGGTGAAACTTAAAAAAAAAAGACCCCCTTTCTAAACAGGTTAAACCAAACTTAAAAAGCAAATTCCAACTGGTTGTAAGCCAAAACCGATTTTGACGGAGAACCTTGAATTTCTGGCAGACAGAATTTGAGTTCCTGTATTTTCTGTTGTTAGGACTTACATCCAGCTTGTTAGTCTTCCTGTTATTTGTTTCACAAGAACAAACTAACTTCAAGGAAAGTCTTTTTTCTTTCCAGCAGTTGCTCAAAAACTAAATGCAACTGATTGATAATACATGTAGAATTAGCAATCATCGCTCTGACCCCCCCCCAAAAAAAAACCAAGTGCGAGTGCACAATAAGCTCTGGTGAAAATTGCGCCGCCGATGGCACATATGGAACACCATACTTTTGGTCAATTTGGGGGACATTTCCTCCTTCTGGATACCGTCCAACCATTACACAAATGGGTCATTCTATAAATTTGGGGTCCAAAGTGTGACATTTTTCCCGTCCCTGTTACCTTGGTGCTTTGTAATTTGCCATTCAAGCATCATTAAAAGTGACTTCAAATGATTGTTTATTTGTTGGGTAGGTACATGTAGCTTGCTATTCATAATCACTCTTGGAGGATGACTGCAGTAAGGAGTGCATCAGAATTATACAATCATAGATGTCAGATGTAACAGGGACGGAAAAAAAAGTGGACCCCAAATTTATAGAATGACCCAAATACCACATGACTATAACTTTACTGCACTTATTTTGCCTTCATTTACAAACTTTTCACAAACATCTTTCTGAACTGTTACAAACTGTTGTTATGTATTAGATTTATTTTGTTGTTAAAATTTCAATTTGGTAGTTATATTTTTGTGGAAAACTTGTGGGGCTTATTTTGGTCAATTTTTGGGGACAGGCATATGCAAAATAAACGTGCTTGCGCATTGATCGAAACAAAACCCGTGTTTCGAAAACTTTTTTTAAAGAAAGCATTTTATGACCACGGCATGGCATTTGGTCATTTAGTCATTGATTTTTGGTCAAACATTTTCGGTCAATTTTCGGGGACAGACAGACAGACGACCGACTGACCAACCGACCACCAAGTGACATGTAGAAGCTCCTGCCAGAGCTTAAAAATACTGGGTTTAAAATTTTTCAAAAGTCTTTTCAATAAATCTAACACTCAGTCCGTCAGCTGACCAGCTAGCCAGTTATTTTAACCATTTAGTTCTTCAGGCTCCACTCTGAAGACCAGCTAGCCTGCCAGCTAGCAAGCAAACTAAAATGCTTATTCACTAAGCTACCACCAGGAACAAAGCTGACTTGTAGAAATTTGCCGAGTGATGTCACTAGCTATCCGAAAACCTTGAGTGCAACATGAACATGTCTGACTGGTGATAATCATCAAAAAATGGCGTATAAAAGCCTGATTCTTTCATCAAACTTGCAGAATGTAATATTCAATACCTAAGGTACATTGCGTAGAAATTCTTAGCCAGTTTGTGCCAGGATAATTGGACATTGACCGGACCCAGGCGCGGGATTGACTTTTAAGAACCTTGATGCCGGACGGGCTCAGGCCGTCATCTATGGGTAGTATACCTTGGTATATCTGGCCTCAATCCCTGCAAGCGGGTCGCAGATAGATATTTCTGGCCTCGCTCCTTGCGTGTTTGTTCATCATCCGTTCTGAATACCGCAAAACCTTACTTTGCTGGTATACACATCACCAGACGTGAAATGGTTAAAGAGGCTGTGGAATGCTCGAAGACATTTCCGTCATTTTTCGGGTATATGTAGCCTAAGGTGTGATGAAATAAAAACGACTATTGTTTCCGTCATAAAATGAGTACAAAAGGTACTTTTGAGAGCTGTTTTTCAAGTCCTGTCATGCCTGTTTCGACCCGAACGTGCAATTTGTGTAAAAGTTGTCGTTGCGGGCAGCAAACAAAACACAGTAAATCGTGACGTAATAAACAGGACTCCCGATGCAGAGTAGCATAAACGAGTCCTGTTTATTACGTCACGATTTACTGTGTTTTGTTTGCTGCCTGCAACGACGACTTTTACACAAATTGCGCGTTCGGGTTGAAACAGGACCTGAAAAATTGCTCTCAAAAGTACCCTTTGTACTCATTTCATGACAGAAACAATAGTCGTTTTTATTTCATCACACCTTAGGCTACATATACCCGAAAAATGACGGAAATGTCTTCGAGCATTCCACAACCTCTTTAAGAATGGAGAAAACTGCAATGGAATTTGGGCCTCAAACACAAAATCCAAATATTTTCGGGTTACAGATGGAATGGACTCCTGACCCAATAACACCGACTATATAAAAGGGTGTATTTAAATCCTAACTAGCGGGCCATCTTGTGAGCCAGCCACCGAAACAACTAGCAAACCTGCTGGACTGCAAGCAAGCTAGTCAACCCACCACACAGCAACAGTTCACTTACTTGTAAACCAGATCATTGGTAGCATGCTCGTCAAAGCCATAGTCAAAGTGGAAATTCTGGTTCTCCAAGTACTTGGTCAGGTCAACTTTAAGTTTAGGTTCATGAAGTATAACCGAGTCTTTGGATGGTATCGTAACCACATCCACGTCTCGCTTGTTGATCTCTGCAAAATAAAATGTTTGAAGTGATTGTAATTACCTTACGAAGGGCAAGTCAATACACATAATAAAGTGTTCACAAACAGCATGAGCTCAAATATATAAATCAAAAAGCTTGTATTTTCATCTTTGAATATTCTACAAGCATGCCTTGATCAGGCTAGCAATTTATATGCTGCAACCCAAAAGAATCACCACAGAAGCGTGAAACTGAAAACACTTGCAAAGAAAGCATGACATCATGTTGACATGTCAAGCAAATGTTTTCCTGATTCTGCAGAAAATGGAAAGAATTCAGACTTTTATCATATCTGAATCCTAAAAGTGATTCAAATAAAACATTACAAAACAGACTAGTTTACTACTACAAATATGCTTTATATCAAGGACAATATACAGCATTTGTTTAAGTTTAACTTTTTTGTAAAACTCTTTGACAGAAAAGTTAATCAATTTTGAATTGGCATTCAGTACATACACACATGATGAAACACGCATGTAAACACCTGATAATCTTAATGAACAGCAGAAAGTTTGGACTCGGCCCAAAGGCCGGTAAATGCAAATGTGAAGCAAATTTGACCTCATGAAAATTTCGCTACGCAATTTGCATGAGTTGAGATGTGTTCAAGTATTGTGAATTCACAGCACAAAAATTTACCGTGACTTCCCAAATTCGTATTCGCGTTCACTATTTGCGCCAACTATGAACCAGCCTTTAGATTTATACCTTTTTTATTCAGGGGCCTTTTCCTGACGCAAACAGTGATTTGATGGTCCTCCACCTGTTAATGAATCCAACCAAAAAAAAAAGTCAATTATAAGCCACATTCCACCTCACAAACTGATTTTGAATCCCACTTTGACTTTGGTTTTTCCCACCAAACTCTTGAACAAGGAATTTTCTTTTTTGAATGTTTCTCAAACTTATGAACACCAGTGCCATACATGCTTTTGAATCTCAAAAGGCAACAAAAACATTCTTTGTTAAAAAAAAAAATTCTTTTGTAAGTTTCATCTGGCCGGTACAAAGTTGGTGATGAATAATATTTACCATGTCGTTACTGGTGACTGGACGAAAATCCAAATCCTCCTGGTACTCTCGGATCATTCGGATGAACTCATATTGTGGGTGACTGCCGTCAACATCCTGTAGGGAAGATACAGTCAGACGAATTATAATAACATTCAACTGTCAATACAAGAGTCTCTTAACTACATTTTCCTTTATGGGAGCGGAGTCATGATATTGAGAGGGAGGGGCACTGCTCCTACCTGATTCCGTTGCTGGACCTGTTCAGCTTGCTTGGCTCATCTCTCCTCCCTTACCTATCCCTCTATGGGAGGTGGAGTCATGATATTGAGAGGGAGGGTCATTGCTCCTACCTGATTCCGTTGTTGGGCCTGTTCAGCTTGCTTGGCTCATCTCTCCTCCCTTACCTATTCCTCTATGGGAGGTGGAGTCATGATATTGAGAGGGAGGGTCATTGCTCCTACCTGATTCCGTTGTTGGGCCTGTTCAGCTTGCTTGGCTCATCTCTCCTCCCTTACCTATCCCTCTATGGAAGGCGGAGTCATGATATTGAGAGGGAGGGGCACTGCTCCTACCTGATTCCATTGTTGGGCCTGTTCAGCTTGCTTGACTCGTCTCTCCTCCCTTACCTATCCCTCTATGGGAGGCGGAGTCATGATAATGAAAGGGAGGGTCATTGCTCCTACCTGATTCCATTGTTGGGCCTGTTCAGCTTGCTTGACTCGTCTCTCCTCCCTTACCTATTCCTTTATGGGAGGCGGAGTCATGATATTGAGAGGGAGGGTCATTGCTCCTACCTGATTCCGTTGTTGAGCCTGTTCAGCTTGCTTGGCTCGTCTCTCCTCCCTTACCTATCCCTCTATGGGAGGCGGAGTCATGATATTGAGAGGGAGGGTCATTGCTCCTACCTGATTCCATTGTTGGGCCTGTTCAGCTTGCTTGGCTCATCTCTCCTCCCTTACCTATCCCTCTATGGGAGGTGGAGTCATGATATTGTGAGGGAGGGGCACTGCTCCTACCTGATTCCGTTGCTGGACCTGTTCAGCTTGCTTGGCTCATCTCTCCTCCCTTACCTATCCCTCTATGGGAGGTGGAGTCATAATATTGAGATGGAGGGTCATTGCTCCTACCTGATTCCAGTGTTGGGCCTGTTCAGCTTGCTTGGCTCATCTCTCCTCCCTTACCTATCCCTCTATGGGAGGTGGAGTCATGATATTGAGAGGGAGGGTCATTGCTCCTACCTGATTCCGTTGTTGAGCCTGTTCAGCTTGCTTGGCTCATCTCTCCTCCCTTACCTATCCCTCTATGGGAGGTGGAGTCATGATATTGAGAGGGAGGGTCATTGCTCCTACCTGATTCCGTTGCTGGACCTGTTCAGCTTGCTTGGCTCATCTCTCCTCCCTTACCTATCCCTCTATGGGAGGTGGAGTCATGATATTGAGAGGGAGGGTCATTGCTCCTACCTGATTCCGTTGCTGGACCTGTTCAGCTTGCTTGGCTCATCTCTCCTCCCTTACCTATCCCTCTATGGGAGGCAGAGTCATGATATTGAGAGGGAGGGTCATTGCTCCTACCTGATTCCGTTGTTGAGCCTGTTCAGCTTGCTTGGCTCGTCTGTCCTCCCTTACCTATCCCTCTATGGGAGGCGGAGTCATGATAATGAGAGGGAGGGTCATTGCTCCTACCTGATTCCATTGTTGGGCCTGTTCAGCTTGCTTGACTCGTCTCCCCTCCCTTACCTATCCCTCTATGGGAGGCGGAGTCATGATAATGAAAGGAAGGGTCATTGCTCCTACCTGATTCCATTGTTGGGCCTGTTCAGCTTGCTTGACTCGTCTCTCCTCCCTTACCTATCCCTCTATGGGAGGCGGAGTCATGATATTGAGAGGGAGGGTCATTGCTCCTACCTGATTCCGTTGTTGAGCCTGTTCAGCTTGCTTGGCTCGTCTCTCCTCCCTTACCTATCCCTCTATGGGAGGCGGAGTCATGATATTGAGAGGGAGGGTCATTGCTCCTACCTGATTCCATTGTTGGGCCTGTTCAGCTTGCTTGGCTCATCTCTCCTCCCTTACCTATCCCTCTATGGGAGGCGGAGTCATGATATTGAGAGGGAGGGTCATTGCTCCTACCTGATTCCATTGTTGGGCCTGTTCAGCTTGCTTGGCTCGTCTCTCCTCCCTTACCTATCCCTCTATGGGAGGCGGAGTCATGATATTGAGAGGGAGGGTCATTGCTCCTACCTGATTCCATTGTTGGGCCTGTTCAGCTTGCTTGGCTCATCTCTCCTCCCTTACCTATCCCTCTATGGGAGGCGGAGTCATGATAATGAGAGGGAGGGTCATTGCTCCAACCTGATTCCATTGGCTTGCTTGGCTCGTCTCTCCTCCCTTACCTATCCCTCTATGGGAGGCGGAGTCATGATATTGAGAGGGAGGGGCACTGCTCCTACCTGATTCCATTGTTGGGCCTGTTCAGCTTGCTTGGCTCATCTCTCCTCCCTTACCTATCCCTCTATGGGAGGCGGAGTCATGATATTGAGAGGGAGGGGCACTGCTCCTACCTGATTCTATTGTTGGGCCTGTTCAGCTTGCTTGGCTTGTCTCTCCTCCCTTACCTATCCCTCTTCCTCCCTTACCTATCCCTCTATGGAAGGCGGAGTCATGATATTGAGAGGGAGGGGCACTGCTCCTACCTGATTCCGTTGTTGGGCCTGTTCAGCTTGCTTGGCTCGTCTCTCCTCCCTTACCTATCCCTTTATGGGAGGCGGAGTCATGATATTGAGAGGGAGGGTCATTGCTCCTACCTGATTCTGTTGTTGGGCCTGTTCAGCTTGCTTGGCTCATCTCTCCTCCCTTACCTATCCCTCTATGGGAGGCGGAGTCATAATATTGAGAGGGAGGGTCATTGCTCCTACCTGATTCCGTTGTTGAGCCTGTTCAGCTTGCTTGGCTCATCTCTCCTCCCTTACCTATCCCTCTATGGGAGGCGGAGTCATAATATTGAGAGGGAGGGTCATTGCTCCTACCTGATTCCGTTGTTGAGCCTGTTCAGCTTGCTTGGCTCGTCTCTCCTCCCTGTTTCTTTTAATCTTGTCTACCTCCTTGACAACGTTGGACCTTCGACGAGAAGCAGCAGCTGGGAATGAAAACAAATCAGGGTCAAAGGTAAATAACTGAATAAAGGCATTGCTTATAAGGAGTATCCTAACAGGCCTTCATTTTAACACAGAAGCAATGAAAGACATAAAATTCAAAACTACAAGGGATATACATGTATATTCTGTGTGAAAATCTTTGGGAAAATTTTTGTTGGACCAAAGTAGGGGAAGGGTTTTTTTAAGTTAATTGAAGGGACACATATAGTGCAGGAAACTTGCTCTCCAACAGAGCACGCAGTCTGAAAGCAGTGCAGAATGTTGCACTTCTCTTTCTAAGCATGATACTGCATATTTTCACATGGTAAATAAAGTTCCCAAGTCAAGCTCTTTTTTCAAGCAGTCAGGATTTTTTTTAATGTAAATGTGGTCATGGTAACGCTAGTGCAAGGCCAACCCTGTAGGTGTGAGACTACTGCTACATGCAAATGACAATAATTAGCAGACAGACATACTTGGGGCTTGTTTCTGCAGGTTCTGCACAGGGCCAGCAGGGGCTGGGGAGTGATGGTTGACGGCCCCATTCTCTGCAGCATTCAAGACGCTTGGCCGACCAACCCTGGCTGATGATACTGCACGGTCAGATACAAAGACAAGACAAGACAAAGATGGGAAAGAATGGTCAAAATGGTATAACGCTTAGTCAATGTTGGATCTAAGCCAAACAAACTTCACAGCACAGTCATTTATCTACACAATTCTAACTTGAAGATTTTGAACAATCACATGTACAAAATTAATATCAAATAAAATAAAACATTACAAGTAAGACTTACAAATGTATGTAATGCTACATTGATCATTATTACAATGTATGGTCTGAGACATTCACATGTTCACAGTCAAACAACTTTACGGAGTCAACCAATTTGTACACTGTACATGTAAATCTAACAAATGTACAATGTATAACATGTTCAAGTAAAAAAAACCCAAAAATGTACTGTATCTATTAATTTATTCTGATTAATAAAAGTCTGTATGTACATGTATGTACATAGTCTGTACATGTAAATACCGGTACATGTATATACCGGTGACTGTTAGCATGCAAATCAGAATTGGAAAATGAGGATCCATTTCAGAAAACTGAATTGTGCAAAATTATCTGCGGTTAAATGTTCATGTATTGTACTGAATAATTCAATATACTATGTAGACATGTACATGTATAATGTATGTTCATAAAGTGAATGCACATTTGGCAGCACTTCATGTATGCACAGAATGTCATGTAAACATGAATGCAAATAACAGTACATCGTTTGAGAGTAATTATGAATTTATAAGTGAAATTCCATATATCATACAATGTCACTTGTCAGTTCATTTGATTTACACAAACATATGTATGTACTTCAATCTGTTCCATGTGAGCAATGTTTAATATGATTACCAACCACAGCTACTGTCTACATAAACAAATCGATGTAGAAAACAAAAAGACATGAACATGCAACAACAACAACAAAAAAGGCAAGAAAACACATACACAACTACATACCACTAACAAGGGAAATATGGGGAGTGGACAGATCAAAAGATTTCTAAAAACATTAAATATCTGCAACCAAACTACACTAATGTAATATTTACGTGATTTACCATCTTCTGAAGCAGAAAATTAAAAGAAAACAGAAAGTGGAAGAGGAAAAGAGCATGGTGAAATCTAAGTACAGGTTTGTATCCATGTTTCCCTTGTTTAGAAGTAATAGACCTTTCTATTGTTTGTAAACATTGAGCGCCATTTTGTATGGGCTGCCGCAAGCGCATAAACTGAAGACGTGGTTGGCAAAATATTTTCCCAAAAAAATTCCTCATAACACCCTCAGTACATAAGAAAAAGTATTTTGCAACGTTAGTTGATTATTTTGGATTTTAAACAATCAAGTTATATTTTGGTAATCATTATTATTCTTCATTTTTGCAGAGTTGGGGCTTCCATAGTTTGGCAACCCATGTGTGCCAACCACGTGTCGGCAATAAGCAAGGTCTATATCTATAGAGAGAAGGTCACAGGTCATGTTAGCTGGTGCCCTCTCCTTGCAACCGGTGCCCTCCTTGTCCAATACCATTCTTTCCTTTTGAAAATCTGCAAATTCTTTTTAATGTATAATGAATGTATAAATGTACAAGTTTATTAAATGCCCTTTTCATATCATAATAATCTCTCTTGAAACCCATCTACATGTACTTTAGTCCATGAAAACATAAAACCTACAAATACAGCTATCAACCAGTCACTGTTGCCATGGTGATTAAGCCACACAGGTGTCAACTTTCTATCGCAATAACTGAATTGTCCTTTTCAAGCTTTTGTTTCTTAAAAAAAAAATAAGCCAAATTCAAATACCTCATTCATGATTATTCATTTAAAAAAAGAAAGAAGTTCTTCCCGTTCATTCGAGGGTCATGCACTGCATATCCCTCATGTAAGCGTAAAATTCTAGGAACTTAAAAAATAATAATAATAATATCATGTCAATTTATCCAGCTGCTACCAGTCTCCACACAATGACAGCTGTTAGTATGTATTATTTTTGTCTGGTGGGTGGGAACATAAACAATAAACCCCAGTGGTATAATACAGCAATCATCAAGGTCCTTTGCTATGAGATGAGTCACTATTGGCACATGCAAATGGGTCTGACCAGGATGACACCATGATGTCACTCAGGCTATGAAGATGATGACACACAAACTATGATGAATAACGATGACCCACAAGGAATTTCTAAGCAATATAAATACCTAGAAGTGAAAATTATTCTGAACCTTTTTTTTTCTCCACTGAAATACTCTGCGTACAGATACAGTTTACATGTAGGTAAATGTAGAAAATCAATATAATTTCTTTTTTGAAGAGAGATGAAAAGATATTTTAACTAAATGTCCATTCGTACTTGTGGTTTGAGTCCATATTTCTAAATAAAAAAAACTAATCCCAATTTACATGCCCGCAAGCCAAACAAAGTAAATATGGGGAAAAAGCATAACAATTTTTCTAAAATTTGTGTTATTTATGAATCAAAATGAGTCGCATAAATGGATAGGCTTGCTGCATCTGATTTTTAAAAAATCAATTCTGTAGTTGAACATCAGCAAGTTCATGTAAATAGAACACAACTAGCTCTCAAATTACAGTCATTTTCAATTTCCAATTAACAGTCATGCATACTGTGTACAATCATGTGGGCCTATAGATGTATCTTGTAAGCAGACGCAAAAGTTACCAAATAACAGACTGCAGGGCAACTGTAATGTACAGGATTTGCTACGCATGATTGAAGAAAATATGTACACGATGCCAGAATGTCTGTACAGGATTTGTAAATTGAATCATACTTTAATATGCCTGCTAAAGTTGCAGCCAGAGATAAAAAGAGGGTTTTGTCTGCATACTATGTCTTGGACATAATGATAAATAATTACATGTACGGTAGGTGATCGATGTGAAACCTTAATTTTCAGTTTATGATGCATTTCTGTCACATTTCTAACTCCTTGCTATAAACATTGCATGCATGTATACATGCGTATCCACCAAGAACTATCAAGATGGCTTTTGACACAATATGAAATTGTGTTCACACCAGCATTGAGCCCAAGACTCTATACGCTTGGTTGGGTTCATGCGTGAATACTAGAGCAATGAGACAAAAGTGATATATCTCTGCAACTGCACTAGACAAATTGCATAATTAGTGAAACAATAAGGTAGAAAAACAAATGCAGTTTGAAATGCAGCAGTCGTGTAATTGACTGAGAATTCAAGATTACAAAATACCTAATGTAAAACAGTACCATGAGTCTAACAATTATTTGTTCAGTTCAGTTTCTTCAGTCATACAGGCTGGTACACAACTACATGTACGCATAAATTGTACGTACACTAAAACATTGTTTGTCAAAGATGCATTCCTGTGCTATTTTTGAGTTTCACCATGAAAAATAGATTTGTTTTTTGCAATTGCTATTTTCCTAGCAATATAAAAAGTATTCACTTTCGAATGAGAAAAAAATCCACGAATGTTTAGTTATTGAATTATTTCTTCACAAAATTTTAATTATTGGCTGCCAGACAATAATTTGGCTCTCGCAAGGCAGGTTTTTGTGCACAAAATGAAATCTCTTTTTCAGAGGGTGACAGACGCCCCAAATTAGAATTCATAAAGAATTTTTTTTTCTTTACAACAAAACATAGAAATGGAAACTTTATCAGGAGGAAAAAACTCAATTTTTTGAAAAGCATGGGCTATGCATAGTTATCTTTAAAAAAAATTTTAATAGTAATTTGGAATTCTGCACAGATACAAAAATTTATAACCATACAACCTGAAATATAGTTTGTGAACACTTTGAATAATATGGTTCGTTGCTACTCTGTATACAGAATGTAGGTCTGGCGTCTGCCTCCTAAATTATCCCATGTAGGATTGTTCATGTGATGACAGAGTGTTCAGGCAGAACTAATGAAGAGCTTCATTAACATATGCTCTAGCCCCATCCCCCAATAAAAATATAACAAATATGAAAGACGAGGGCAAAGAAGGGAATATTTGTTGTACGAATTGAAAACAGTGTTAATTTGAAAAGGGTAAAATCTTTAAAGGCACATAGGATCATTTGTATTTTTCCCAAAAGTAACCAAGTGAAAGTTATCAAAAAGCTTATTTGGATTAAAGAACACACTGGTACTAAACACCCCTTGAAATTATTCCGTCTGGATTGCTGTCATCTAGAAATAATCAAGAAATATAGGTGGTTTCCAACGATCAGTCAATTGACTCATTGTTGGAAATAAAGAGTATTATTCAACGCCTGAATAAATCCCTGTCATCTTATTCATAGGTCGTTGATCACGCGTCATTGAATTATTCCTCCCAACGCTGGCAACGCACGGCGCAAAAATAGAAGTTCCATTCCACGGTATAAAATAGAACATCCATTGCACGGGCACATGAATTTATTCAGGTGTTGTATAAAACAAATAATGAATGGTTCACATCAATGGAATGAATAATTTCATTTGGTGAAAGGAATGTTCCATTCTAGTTTGCTTTGCCTTGTGGAATGGAACATTCCATCTGTCACCTCATGAAATTATTTTTTTGACAAAAGGTTGTGGATGTTTTTCACTGTTTTCTCAAAAAGTGTAACATCTGAGCTGAAACTTTTACAGGTTAGGTTTTGATCATTTTTCCTTGGATTTTGAATGGTGTTATTATTGCAAATGAAAAAATGCATGAAAACAAATGATCCTATTACGCCTTTAACGTATACATGTATAACGGTACATAAAGATGGAAAAAAGTTTCAGTACAAACATTTGACTAAAAATGTCAAATTATGGGACTTCAAATGGAGCACTTGAAGTTATACTGATGACTAGTATGAAAAACCATCAGTCTACTTGGGTCATTAAAAAACACCCCAACCACACTTAAATCGTTAGACTCAGTCCAGCGGTCCAGTGATTATTTTAATTCTTGACATGGATTGCAATATTTCGAGCTCACCTCTATTCTGTTCTCTGGCTGGTTTAGCTATTTGCTGTGGTTGCTGTACATTGGATAACGGCATTCTGGCGCTACTGGGCCTAGGGCGATTGCTAGGGGCTGCGGGTGGGGGTTTGGTGTGGGGTATGGGGGCATCTGGCACCATATCAGGGCCCAGCTCTGGGTTGAGTGCATAGACCTGGGATATCTCCACCTGGGCATCAAAAACATCAAGAGCAAACGATTAAGCACAAAATAGTCGTTATTTTTCATTGGGAAAAATCAAAACAAAACAAAAAACCATACTTTTTTTCCAAATTAACTCTTCTGTTTCTGTGATGAATTTAGCTGTTTTGCACATATACTAATATTTGAATATTCATTTATCAACCAAGTATTTGAATAGCTTTTTACCGGCTCGAATTTGGAAGGGAAAAACTACGCACAAACATGACTGTGATGTTATTTTAACCCTAACTTCCCAAATCTTCAAAAAATTGATTTTGTAGGATTGAAGCTATATGGCAAAAATGTGTGGCTGACTTTGGAGGATGAACTGTGTCAAGGTCTTGGGCCAAACCTTGTTACTTATGCTCAGCCGTGCATAAATTTAGGCCTATATTATACTTGAAATCCTCTGCACTGCTCCAGGATGTCACTGGCTCTGCCTTAACATTATTGACAGTGATAACTGGAGGATTTTGCAGGATTGAGGCAGTGGTCAACCTTCCAAGGACCACATTCAAGACATAACGGAGGATTTTGCAGGATTGAGGCTGTATGCAATTTTAACAAGGAGGCAGTTGGAGGATTTTGCAGGATTGAGCTTACATCCTAGCAAAATGCCGAGGGAGTTAGGATTAATTAAAGCCCTTGACATTTATAAACTACGTACTGCAATCGCAATCGATTGTGCACGCAAATATAGTGGCACAAATTTAAGCGGCACGCAATTGAAGTAGCAAGCAATTTAAACGGCACCCTTTGCATGCAATCTTTGATGGGTGCGGCATGCAGTTGCATCTGGCGCTTGAAAACTTGATCGGCGGGTTTCGAATATTCGAATATTCAGTCAAATGCAGATTTCGAATAATTGAATACTTAATTATTCTAAAACGGCCAGCCCTATTAATTACCTCTTTCCCTTTTGTCTCTCCACGTTCAAACCACTCGACAGTGACACTGTCTGTAGCTTTGCTGATTCCGCTGATGCACGCTGAGTGGACCCGGCCTGGCAAAGAGAAGAAAGAGTCGAGATCAACCAAATCAACAGTTCACCGGTTAAGATTCTAATTCTGTGGTCCAACTAGTCTTGGTTCAAGACGTTAGTTTTCACCTCATACTGGTACCGTGCGCTTGTTTGTTCTGCTATGCGCCCTCAAATAACGAATTTTAAACCGCTCACATTGTCATCTTGGGATTTCTGCATCGCATGGTTCAATCTATTTTTTTTCCCCCAACACAATCAGTGACTGCGGAAATTAGAGCGCACTGCACTACAAGAACATGTATATCGCAATTCTCACAATAACGATGGGGCTTTACAACTTTTCACATTCGGTTTTGAAAGAATAGTTGCATGCATTTGAATGCGATTTTTATGCCCTAATCGGCTGAGTTGTTCAATGTTTTTGAATATTTCAACTCTAGTCTAATCTGCATGTCAATTGCCCCCTCCCCCCCTCCATGATCCATCCAGGATTCCAAAGATGTTGGTATGAGTAAATCAAACAGCCATAACCAGTCATAAGACGGTGCACTACCATGCAAATCGGCCATCTTGAACCAAGACTAAGGTTCCGCAAATCATTGTCGGTTGATCTTTAAAAGAGGAAAGAATGTCAATCAACTTATTCGATTTTAAGGTCCCACACATGGATGACTGTTACTCAATATAAATGAATAAAGTACAGGAGAATCTGGTACAATATAAGCTGGGCCAGGCAAGTGTTCCAACACATTGACATGTAAAACTTGGAAGTCTCACTCTCAAACTTCAGTCAAACGTGAATTCTCCCTTTTCCATGTGAAACAGGCCGTTTAGTGACAGAACAAACTTGCCTTGTCACTAGTGACTAGAGGGGCATTTCACTTCAAGTTCACAATTAATAAAAAATTCACTTTACTTAGCACAATGTTGAGACATTTCTTACTTTAAATTTTACCACCAAATCTGGCCTAATGAGGAACGCAAATCATGTTAATGTTTAGGCTATTTTGATTAAAATTATGTTCAATTAAAACCAAAAGTTTTCATGATAAAAATCACAACCAATGGCCTAGTTCTTATTCTTTACAAATACAAGGCTCAGTAGGGCCCTAGACCTATTTGTTTTGTCAGATTTAATTGTTCCCGACCTGTGACGGTATATAATAAAAAGTAAAATTTTAAATCACGCAGAGTAAAAGGTAAAAAAGTCAGCGATTGAGTAGTTACAGGCCCCTCTTTGGTTTCGATCAAAAAGAGTCAAGGGTGTTTTTTTTATCATTCAAAAATGACCTTTTCAACCTAAAGCAGACTTCTCTCATTCCTTACACTTTTTTTTGTAATTTGGAACACTTTCTTTGATTTACGGTTTGTGCCGTGCAATGCAGCACACCTTACGCGTGCACATTACAGTGCGGTGATCACCATCTTTTCTTTGGCGTTGCGTTTTGTCGTCATCGTCACTTTACTTAATTCGAAGTGGCTATCGTTACGGCATTCGTTCTTAGCGCCCTCAACGATTCTTTTTTGATACGCACGCAGGTATATAAATATTTGTTTTCCCGTGTTTTGGTGAACAGTGCGACAGCTCAGTCGATAGCGGGTAGGATTTTGCACCGCGAGGTTGCGGGTTCGCATCTCAGTTTTGCACTCAATTTTTTTTCCTTTTCTAACCTTAGGCTTTGGAGGGTTTTTTTAAAAGGGAAATAAAGTCCGAATTTTATAACGTTCAAATTCACTTTTTTCCTTCTTATTTATATTTTCTTCTCATACGATAGAAAATGGGAAATGCGTTACGGCTGCCGTAACAATAGCCACTGCATACTTAATTATAGTTTTTTTACCCCCAAATTTCCCTCAAAAATTTGAAACCCTTCCCTCTATCTCAAACTATGACAGGTACGTTCTTAATTTTGTTAATGTCACCAACTACTTTGGTAAGTCAAGTAAATTAAAGGGGTAATCCTTACTTTTAGGACCCCTTTCCTTTATAAGGTTAAAAGACTCACCAAAACAGCTGACTATGACACTCAAAAGTGACATTCTGATATTTATTGACACATTTGAACATTTGGCAATGACACCTCTTGAATATCAGCAGGTTTGATTTTGTAGAAAGAGGGCAGGGTTTTGATTTATGAGGGGTTAAAGACGACGATGACAAACAGAAAATAAATTTAAAAAGCAAGATGGCGAACTGCAAAAAAAGGTAGGAAAGTCACATTTTCTTTGAAAGTGCTTTCAAAATTATAACTAACATGAGTTTGTCTGAAGAAAAAAGACTTCTTTACTAGCCTGCAAAAGTCACTTTGGTACTGGACAGTCATCTGCAAAAGTCAGTTTTGAACAGAACTCGTACAAAATAGAGGTGTCCTAAAAGTAAGGATTACCATTAAAGGGTTTTGTTCTCTTACAGGGAACCGGGCCCATAACTACACCATGGAGATGGGCCCGGTTCCCTGTACACGATTGCCAAAAAGTCAACACTACAGTTGACTGTCATGACTGTGTCATGTAAATTATGCACGAATGATCGTGTGAATATCACAGGTTGACCTTCGTCATGTTCGTAAAACCCCAATGAAATTACCATCACTTCGCTGAATGTCCACATTCATGCCGACTTTTAGTGTACAGGCATCCATTTTGAGTGCTTTCCACTGGATGAACTACAATTTTGAAGCTTCGATCTCGAAAAATTCGGTGAAAAACCCGGTACGCTTTGACAGAATTTGATCCACCCCGTTGAAATTTTGAACAACCTGCTACGCGTGCGCAAAAACGGTTTAGACGTTCAGCAAGAAAAATTCCGTAGTAATGTGAGTGCGCCCCCTCTCGACAGTGCAAGGAAATTATTTAAGTCAATGGGATAACCCAAAAAAGGTGAAGTGTTTCAAAAGTAAAGTGTTTCAAACGAAAAATGTTTTAAAATAGCCGGGAAAACCTGTACTTCGTGGGTAACGCCCTTTCAGAGCCCCAAAATGCAGCATTCATAGATAGTGTTGAACAGGCGCGGATCCAGGGGGGGGGGGGGGGTACACAAAATGAACCCAGCTCTATCAAAGTTATTTTTTTCATAGAAATTCATTAAAAATAATGCGACCCCTCCCCCCACGCTCTGACAACCAAAAATGATGTCCTCCTGTACACAAAATACGGACGGAGCCAGCTTGGTTAGGGGGTATTTGTACACTATTCTGTAATAAAGACAGTGTTAATAATCGTTGGATTTGAACAGCGCCCCAATCGAAGTATGGTACGAGCCCCCCCCCCCCCCCCCCACCACATTGATTTTACGGAGGCCAAGTGTCCGGACAAAAAACCTGTCTACATTTCAGCAAATGATTTGTTGACGAAACCCCCCCCCCTGCAAAAATTCCTGGATCCGCCCCTGGTTGAACCAAATTTTACTTTTTAGACATCTAACTAAGATGTCTATGTGCATGCTGAAAGAACAGTTCGGCATGAGTATAGAACATGGTGATGCATACGTTTTAACCACGATAATCAACTTTTAGGAAATTCGCATGTTTGTCATATTTCGTTTAAAGTGATACGCGGTCACATTGGAAGAAATGCAGTGTGAACGAGTGAATCGGTTTTTTTTATATCGATGATCCGTAGTAACGTCAGTGCGCCCTCTCTTGACACGGAAAGGAAAACATAGCAATCACTGGCATCCGCGCGTTGCCATGCCAGTTTTTTTTTAGAGGGGCAATGGGGTATGAATTGTTACAGTGGGGGCGCACAATTTATGTTAAACCCGTTAACCACGGTCACTTAGATTTCTAATGGGGGAAGACTGGGGGGGGGGGGGTGGAATATCGAAACTTTCGTAAAATAAAAAGGAAGAATGGCTTTTCTTTTGTAAAAAATAAATCATCTACCATAGGAATATCGCATTTTAGTCTAATGGTAGTTTCCCGAGTTTTTTCCCGGGCTCTTCAAGAAATTCGATTTTTTTTTTTTACTCTAAATGAATCTTCAAGGTGTATGTTTTCAAGGCGTCCGCAACCACACGAAAACAAGAGAAGTGTTCCTATAAGCTATATCATGCGTTACTTTGGTACGGAAGCGTAGACGGGCCACAAACAATAATCTCCGATGATCTCGCCGCTGCGAGTTATGTCGTCAAGACTGAAAATAATTCGAAATGCGTGGTAAAGTAATAATTCCATGACTAAATGTACGGGTGGATTTTTATTGTTCAATGTCTCGTTTAAAAGTAAAATATATTGTATTGCTTTAAAAAAACCCAACAACAATTAGTCTATTTTGAACCACGAGAGCATTGCTTTCACAAAGTCATCCACTGCTAAAACAGTGCTAATGATTGTTTTCTTCTTACAAGTCATGGGCTCTTGTATTGTTGGTAAGCCCTGCTATCCTTTCTTTAAACGAAACTACCAGTTAGACGTATGTATTAAAGGGAATGTACATCATTGGCTTTTGCTGTAATTTTCAGAAATGAACTATTTGAGGGGTTAGTATAATAGATCAAATATTGTTACACTGACATGTTTGAAGTTTTGTGTTCGAAAATGCTGGAAAAACTAAGAAAAACTAAAATGTTCAAGTAGTCTGGTTCCTTGACTCCACTAAAGATAAAATGGATCAATTTATAGATGCCAGAAAATTGTAAGGTTAGGGAACCAGTCTAGCTGGCCTGCACCCGTTCATGAAACATGTAAACAATAGCAAACAAAATTTTGACTGAAAAAAGTGTAAAGTTGGAGCAGTAGTTGAAAAATAGTTAGGTTTTTCCAACAGTGGTCGGCCGACCACCGTTGGAAATGTATACAAAAATACCATTTTCTTGAAAATGACTTCACACAAGGTGCCATAATTTAGACTGCATTTACCAACATCCTAGTAAGGTATTTCGTCAAAACTTGGTACTTTTATTTTTCGATGTTTGCAAATGTTGTATATTCCCTTTAACGCCGAAAAAAATCCAAGCACAGAAAATTCGGAAAATACAAGAGTACCTAGAATAAAGGTCTAGCTCACAATATCTTCGTTGTCATATAATTCAATAAACTGAGAAATTAACGGTTTTATTTCCGTTTAAAAGAATCCCGGAATAATGTACAATCTGTATGTTACCAAGAGTTTCTGTTGCGTATATTTAATTAAAACAATATATATAATTGGTTAACTTGAACTGCCTTAAAATAAGGGAATTTTACCCAACGGCATGAGTGCAAACAAGGACAGATTCGGGGGGGAGGGGGGGTGGGAATTTGGTCCCCCAAAATGGGTCCAAAAAATTACTGTGTAGGGTTCGGGGCCCGCTCAAGGCCGACGGGCCCCGAACTTTTTTTGGATTCTAGATGCTCTGTGGTGCGATCTGAGGCAATTTCTGACCACTTTAACCAATGTTTTTTGAGGAAAAGATGGTGGTGTATGCAGTGACTGTTTTTATTGCGACATCGCTTAAAAAAGTGGGTTCTTTTTTGGGGGGGGGGCATGGCCCCCTTTCTCCCCCCCCCGATCCGCCCTTGAGTACAAATAAACGGGTTTTATTTTTCCTAAAACTAGATAGAAATACAGAAGCACTAGCATGGGTTACAATGAATTTCAGTAAAATTTGCAGGAATGTTTTTCTTAAGTACGTGTTAAAACTTCCTGAACATATTTCTTTTTTTTAACGGAAATAGACGGAAATTTTTCAGTCCTCAATATAGCTTTCTTGCTAATGCCACAGTCAAAGGCCCTCTACCGTCACAAAATGATTAGCGCAGTCCAGGGTATGGTAAACCTAATGCAACTTTTTTTCGTCACTGATATTACTCTTCACTTAACCCAAACACTATAAAGTCGCATTCTTTATTATTATTTATCTGAATGAAATTCCTGCATTGTTATTCTATTTAATCAGCGCGTGGAAAGTCAGTATAGACATTCATAAATAACTGCCAAACAGTCTTTGAGATCTGTTGTTTCCAATTCAATCATTCAGAAATAAAGTTTAGATTTTGTTTGACGGTCGGCCATACTTTGAACGGGACCGCCGTGGTAGCAGGCTAGGGCAAAGCGGACCACACACGTCGATCTTCCCGGCCGAGACCGGACCGCCCATGTCGTGTTAGCCTGGGTGGGATCGCTCTGAACTTCTAATGTAAACATTGAGGGGCAGTATGAAAAGCATAATGATAGAGTACACACTTACCATACGGTAATCAAGGTTCGTATTTTGGCGGCCCCTGGCTCAAAGTGGTACGGTCCAGTCTTAATGATTTTCAGCTGCAGCAGCTGAGAGTATTTTTGGAAATTAACCGTGCATGGGGAGAAATTAAGGCAAAATCGGAAAAGACCCCTAATCGCCGCAAACTTAAGCACCGCCTTTCTTCAATGGCTTAGTAATTTTGTAACATTATTTTTGTTTTCGATTGATAAGGCTTTGTGAAATATAGCTGGGTAAAGTGTTTTATAAGACCGTGTCCAAATTACCCCCCCCCCAAATAACACGGTCAAACTGATGGCAAAAACCGAAGCCATTACCACTAAGTTCATACTTCACATGCAACTTAAGTTATGCAGAAAAAAAACCCAATTGACAACTATAATTTTAATTGCACGGTTTGTTTGTTCGTCGTTTGTCCACCTTCCTGTTAACCGTGAGTGTATTTCCAGCATGTCCAATACGATCTGTTTGTTGAGGAATTTGAAAAGTTCGGGTCATCTGGAGGTTAATGTATGATCGTTGTGTTTTGTGTGATTTTGCATAAAGTGTCAGTGGTTGGGAGTTAAAAACAGAAAACTTTGTTCACCAGAGATTTTCAACCTACGTACTATCCATTTTTGGATACAATCGAAGATGCCATGCATGACGCAGGAACCACGGACCTAGCAAACACTTTTGTCTACAACCAAGTATAGATTCGCTTGCGTCAGTATTGTACCGCTACATGTACGCCATGGTTTTCGGCCTTCCTTTATACAAAGTAAAAAGCGACATTTAGTTTATTGATTAGTTGGGCTTGTTAGCACAATATTATTTGAATAAAAGAAAATTCCCATTTTTGAGAACGTAAGGAAAACTACGGTATGAGAATTCACTACGGCATCCAGAACATCCCCGTCCACCATTAACTAGTAACAAGTCAGGGTGTGGCTTCAGTCTTCGATGGAGATCTAACCGTATAAAGTAATCTTAAAAGTTAAATCACGTGATGAAACTTTAAATCATGTGATATATGTTCTACGCATGCGTACAATGGAAAGTGACTATACTTGGCTGCAAAGAAAAACTAGCGCCCAGCCCATCAACCCGCTTGAGCCATCCTGCCCTGATCACACCACCCAGGCCGTTACGATACCGAGGATGCCATGTATCCATTTGAAGGAATAATATTTGCGAGAAGAGCAATCTCTTCGATGGCGTCAAGGAATTCACGAGGTATAAACTGAGAATGGTGTTTATGATGGGGGAGAAGGGGGAAAATGCTTCATGATCATCTTCATCTAGAACAGACCAGTTAAGATGATGAGAGACTGGAATGAGAGGTGGAACAAGAAGGAGGAGAGAAGGCGGGGATGATAAATCATCACTGCATCATTCAAAACAGATGGACCCCACTGTTATCTTCTTCTTAGCCTTTATCCAAGTCTGAATTCTGATATCTAACCTGGACTCGACGTTCAGGGTTGTGATAAATTACAGATCGGGGCCATCAGCGGCTGCGGAATATCGCATTACGTCTAGCTCTAGAAACATCATGAACTCAGAGATTATGACATTTACAAATTGCAAACCGACATCTGCTTCAATAACTTTGACAAAATAGCTT